CATCAGGTTGGATAGAGTCTCCTGTGGCCATCAGCCTGGAGATTACCTTTGTCTCTCTTCTGTGCTGTTCACCCATTTCCCTCCTGTTTCCTTATTTCTCTGGTTTTGGTTTCCACCATCATTTTGTGGTGTACATTCTCCTGAAGCTTCCTGAGAAAGAGTGAATGAAGATGTCTTGACATGGGTTCACTAGAAAACAAAACCCAAGGTAACTCCCAATGGCTATTTATTTCAGAGACACAATCCCAGATGTGTTAGCAACTAGTTTTATTGAGAAATAAGGCTGCTGTGAATTTCTTGTATTAGTCTTATGTTTTCACTTCCCTTGGGTAAATATTCATGAGTGGAATTGCTAGGTCATATGGTAAAGGTAGGTAGTAGTCATTTCACACTGCCATAAAGATACTGCCTCAGACTGGGTAATTTACAAACAAAAGGAGTTTAATTGACTCACAGTTCAGCATGGCTGGGGAGGTCTCAGAAAACTTACAATCGTGGTGGAGGAGGAAGGGGAAGTAGGCACCTTCTTCACAAGGCAGCGGGAGAGAGAAAGCACAGGGGAAACTGCCACTGTTAAAACCATCAGATCTCATGCGAACTCACTCACTATCATGAGAACAGCATGGGGGAAACCGCCCCTATGATTTAATCACCTACCACCTTCCCTTGACACATGGGCATTACAATTCAGGATGAGATTTGGGTGACGACACAGAGCCAAACCATATCAGAGTATGTTGAATGGTATCAGAAATTGCCAAAAGTTTTTCTAATTGTGCCATTTTACAATCCCAACAGCAAAGTATGAAAACTCCAGTTGCTCCATGGCCCCTTGGACATCTATGCTAGTATGTAAAATACAACTGACCCTTGAACAGCACAGGTTTGAACTGCAGAGGTGCACTTCCACTTATATGTGGATTTCTTTCAACCAAGTGAGGATCAAAATTACAGTATTCACAGGATGCAAAATCCATGTATATGGAGGGCCAACTTCTCATATATACAACTTCCCCAGAGCCAACTATCAGACTTCAGTATACACAGATTTTGGTATATGTCAGAAGGGGAAGGGTCCCAGAACCAATCCTCTGCAGATACTGGGGGATGACTGCACCATTGATTTGTGTATATTGATCTTGTATCCTGTGACCTTAAAAATTGCTTATTCGCTGTGTTTTTTAGTAGCTTTCTTATGATTTTCTGTGTGAACTATCATGTTCTCTACTAAGAAGAATAGTGTTATTTCTTCCTTTCGGATTTGCGAATACAGATTTTATTTCTTTCTCTTGACTTATTTCACTAGCTAGGACTTTTCATACTATGTTGAATAGCAGTGGAGAGAGGGGGCATCCTTGTCTTTTTCCCAGTCTTAGACGTAAAGCATTCAGTCTTTCACCATTAGGTATGATGTTAGCTATATGTTTGTGTAGATTTTTTAAATCAAGTTATGGAGATCCCCCCATTCCTAGTTTTATGGGAATTTTTAATTATGAGTGAGTACTGAATTTTGTCAAATGCTTTTTCTGCATTCATGATATGATTATGTGATTTTTCTTCTGTAGCCCATTAATACAGTGAATTATATTGATTGATTTTCAAATTTTTTTTTTTTTTTGTTGTTTTTTTCCATTTTTTCTTGTTTCTGACATCTCAAGGTCTCATTCAAGAATTTAGCATCCAAACTTATTTTTACCAAAGGAAATTTTCAGCTGGGCAATCAAATTCCTAGGTAGGAAATTACATAACTT